TGCATCCTCCTTTTACTCTCAGATCTTTCATTCACGTGGTCCAGGCGTCCTGTAACACTATTCAGGACTGCGCACCCTGTGCTCTTGCTGGTTTACAGTTTTCCACTTCTTAAAAAAGGCACTGGATTTTGGATGTACCACAAAGATTCACAGTTCCTCCTAGTGCATTTTAAGAGCTGAGAGTTACTTTAGCAATACACCTTTCACAGCTTATCAGTTATAAATACGTTAACAAGTTTCCATTTAAAAATGAGTCATCTCATCCCACTGGAGTAAGAAAACAGAACTCGTGTTATCAGATTCAGATTCTGGAGATTGCACAGGTTTCATTTACCTCTAAATCACGGAATTAGACTAGTTTAAGACCAAGAAGGAATGAAAGCCCTTACAGTTATTTAGTAGCTTTTGCCAAGTAAATTGCCAGACCTAATCGAAGTGTGATCCCTTTTCTAGTTTTTGATTTATAATTTAGGCAAAATCTGACTCATTTTTATAAGTAAAATTGTATAGTGGTATTTTAAAAGTACTTCAACTTTGTGTTATAACAAACGTTAACGTTCCAAGTGTGGAAGATCTCTATTTACCCTTAGTGAAACCATTAAACCAGGCAGCAAACTTTACAGTACAGAAAAGCTACTATAAAGGCTTGGAAGAACAGCTGTAAACTTTAAGGATTTCATATAAATTTGTAAGGCAAAAATATCTGAATAGAGAACACTAAACAGAATCATTCAAGAGTGGGACTTTACAGTCCATTCATATAGTCCATATTAACATTAATTACCCAACTGCACGTCTTTATTGCCTCTTCTCTCCTCTCCCCTGAAGCAAAGACGAAGCAAATCCTTTGCTGTTATAATACAGTAGATCCATGTGAGTTTACCTGGCACGTTCTCAGTTCACTCTTATATTAATCCTTTAACAATAATAATAATAATAATAGTCCTTTTGACCCCACCTAATAGGTGACTACCCTTGATACTAAATCAGGCCAGCGGTGGCTACCTGGTACCCAACTGTGCAGTATTTTGCTGACAGACGCTCCAAGCCGGCTGAACGCTGCAGAGCTGTATTAAGTGTTTCTGCTGTACTTCTCTGCGAGACTCTCAGGCTGAGACTCAGCACCACGCCACGGGTTCACGCTTCTTCCAATTTGGATCTGGCTAGCAGCTGCCTGGCTTGGGACCTGTGCAGAAGCTTGCCTGCATTTATCTGCCAACCAGTGTAAACCTTGAAGCTCTCCAACGTTTTTGGCCAAATTACCACCACCAGTGACAGTGTAGGTGCTTGCACAAAGAGCAGCGGCTCCCAGCTGCCGCGGGGCTACACACCAGTCTGGAGTGGCTGGTGTAACACTAGTCTTCCCCAACCCTTGGAAAATGTCTCATACGTGCATACGACCGAACAGCATAAAAGCTGGGACCAAGGACTACACTGTAGATATTTAGGAAGAACAGCTACCACAGCATTCTTTAAATAAAACGTCCTCAGAAGAGGAGTGCCACAGAACAGATGGGATATGACATGTAAGTTCAGAGGTGACAGGATTTTGACCGTCTTTTTGTGCCTACTCAAGGTAGGGCTATTTGGTGAGACCACAAATGGTCGAGATAACTGGAAGTGGGAGCTCGTCAACAAGCTCCCAGAGCTAAAGCTGAAAACATGGATCTCAAATTCCTGCCACTGCGCGGAAAGTACAACTCCTCCTATGGATTCAGACAACTCATTCACATTCCTGTGCAAACACCAGCAAGGCAAGAAAACATTAAACAGCTGTACAGGAATAATTCTTAAAAGTACAACTTATGCATCTATACGAACCAGGTATGGATGGGAAAAGCCAAACTGAATACCATAAAGAAAATCACTACTTCTACTGCATCAGAAACTATTTGAGCCTTTAATGAAAACTGCAGTGAAGAAACTCAGGTCACCACAATTCCTCTCATCTTAAAAAAAAAAAACAAACCAAAAAACCTACACACCCCCAAACCCAAAGCTTTGACGAAGAGGCTTTAAGTAGTCAAAAAATAAGGGTGAGGGTTTGTGAAATGATAGAAATGTACATATAAAATACGAAAATAAAAATAAGATCCATGTCTTTATTAAGCAGTTAGTACTGAAGATGGTTAATGCTTAGGCCCAATGCAGCCAATGAGGTCAAAAAGGCAGCAAAACTTGCAGAAACTTATCTCAATTAGTAAAGACAGGAACAACTGAAGAACTATTAATGAGCCTGTTGAATGGAGAGCATGTTGATTAAATGCAGCATCGGCAAAAACAAGATGAGGCTTGTCTCAAAAAAAAAAAAAAAAAAAAAAAAAAAGCTCAAGCTAGTCATTTACACTGCTGGGTCGTAAATTAACTAACTGCTTCCAAAACAAAATACTTTAACAATTCACACCTCAATACACAGAAGCTGTTTACAGAGGATGAGGTAACAAAAAAACCCCAAAACCAAAAACAAATAAAAGATGTGATAAATCCATTAAAATATAAAGCATATGGTAAAAACTTCACTTATATGTCTGTTTTATTTAGTTCTAAGCTACTAAGACCAGAAAGGGGTTAGGAACGAACACAGTTTGTAAAAAGGGACTATAGAAAAAAGTGAAAAAAAAGGATCGCAAGAGGCATAGAAAGGCTCCTGGAACAGGAAACATGGGGAACATTTCAGAAAAATGAACAAAGGGCATGAAAGAGTAATTGCAGTAATCACTTTACTGAAAAGGAAAACCATTCCCATATATCATTTTTCCAAATACTACAAGGAGTCAATGAGACTGAAAAGCAATTCACTCAAACCTGAAAATGTTCATACAACATATAGTTGACTTTCTTAGCGTCATTGCCATACTCGGTACATGCTTAGATTCACTTAAAGAACTAGCTATCAGAAACCTACATTCTCTGCAGAATTCACTCATGAAGTTTAAGCAGCAGCCCACTGTGGAGTCCTCCCGTAGGTAGGTTGTAAACAACTGGTACTTCTCACCAACTTCCTAAGGAAAGCTTCTATATTCTTCGAAGATAGTCATGGGTAGGTGCTCTTCAGGATAATGCATGACCACTCTGGATTGCTCTGAATCACTGCTTTCCTTCATTAAGCTGGACCAAGCAGAAGTGTCGCTGCCCAATTTTTAGTTAATGCATGTACAGAAAAATACAGTTGTTAATTCAAATACAGTTGTCAATTCAGATAACCTAGCAGAAATAAGATTTCAGTAGTGGTGGGAAAATAGTATGTGCGTAGAACTTCAAAAATTGTGCTTGCCCCTTGGGTCTGAGCAAGACTGCAATTCATTCGCAGACGTACCAGTGCAGTCTCCTGGCAGTGGTACGATTTACACCAGAGCGAGTCAGACAGCACTGGTGTCTGCTTAACCTACACTGGAGTTATGCACAGAGGCAGCTGCACTACCGCTGGCTGAAATACAGAACAGGTAAGGAACATGTTTTAATAGCAAAAAGGTACCAGGAAACAGCTCCATCTTGCAGTTTTCATTAAAGCTATGAACAGACTTACTTATCACAGAAACAAGTAACACGGAGCTCATTAGACACTGCCTCATATCAAACTGTCCTCTGCAGTCGCAGAATTTTTCTTTGCAGGCCACACAAATTCCAAGACAAACAAATTCATTATTCACTCTATTTCACCTTGCTAAAGCAACACCAGGACTACCACCCAAGGATAAATCCAGTACTCCATCATGACATAATACCTTTTTTATTACAATATCCAAAAAAACTGAGTATGCAAGATTTTGAGATCTCACGATCCCTTCTTCAATCTCAGGAATGTGCCATCTAAAGACTGTATATTTAAACCATAAAGGAGTTTAAATGTAAAGAAAAGAGAAAAATGCATTTTCTTCATAAACATTCTGTGTGTCTCTTCCTACCAACCACGCCATCCTCTGTAAAACCCTAAGATTTCTTTCTGTAAAGCAAATATATATATAGTGTTGGTAGCCCGCCCCACCCCGTCCCAAGATCAGTTTTTATTAATCTTCTGTATTAGTGTCAACAATCAGCTACAGATACATATTACTTTGAGAATTAAATACATAATCGTTTAATTCAAACAAGCAGAAGGGCAAGAGGAAAAAGCATTATGTGGATGGCACATTTGGTTGTAGATTACCAAAACATTCAGCCTTTACAATTCAATGATTCTTTCTCTAGTAATCAACTTTCAAATAAAATTTCTCTTTGTTGCAATTACAGACCAAAATACACTAGATAGTTTTCTTTTACTACAATCTTACCATAGTAGTTTAAGAAGTACTATTACAAAATGCTTTTAATTAGTGTACTCTTTACAAAGAGTCAGAGAGGCAATGTAATAGCAGAGTACAGTGTAAAGAGTGCTTCTAGGAACTAGGAGTTTTTGTAATATACTACTCGGTAAGCGATATAGCTACAGAACTCACAGCCACAACTGTTATGTCTACTCTCTCTCACTTAAGTAGCTGCAGCTTCAGTGCATTCAAACTGTGTCCGATGTCTCTGAACGGAGAGTTCTGCCTGTGTGAGCAATCTGAACAGATTAACACTGGTTTGAATTGAAAACGCCCCTCCTTGATCTGAGCTAACTATGTAAACGTACACAGGAGAGGGGAGTTTTGAACTCAGCCAGGAAGGTGAGCGCTCGCCACGGCCACCCAAGGGAAACTCTCAACCTGAAGAGAGGTGGTCGGAGATTAACAGAACTGGAACACGAAAAGAGGCAGGGGAAAAAAAAAAAAAAAAAAAAAAAAAAAGAGACAAACAGCAACCGACAGGGCAAACACTTTAGAAAGAGCCTATGGAAAAAAAAAAAAGGGAGGGGAAAAAAAAAAAAAAAAAAAAAAAGAGACAAACAGCAACCGACAGGGCAAACACTTTAGAAAGAGCCTATTCCTTAAGCCTGCTTCAGATATTGCTCTGCTCTATAAAAGTGAATTTAGGACCTAAGGCTTGTAAGTTATAAGAGGCCCAGGTGGCCAAGTCCATCTTCAACGTCACTGAAGTGCTTTCACAAGATATAGCTTTTCCCCGTGTTCACTGGTGAAGATGGGAGCCTTTTTGTAGTGTTCCACCAACTCATCCATAGTATTAAAGCGACGCTGCCCAATACAATAGACATTGTCCACGAGCTGCACCTTGAAATGTTTGTTCTTCCCCGACGCCTTTAGAGATACCGAGAAGTCACTGGGCTGTTGAGAAGAATTCAAAAAGAAAAAAAAAAGAATTATATAAAGGTGAACAAAATGAAGGCGTAATTTTGTGGTTTCAGGAACAAACTGTGTCATATAGTTGATGGTAATTTATGCTAGTCTTTGTTCCACAGCTCGGTGCTTTAGCTACTTAAGAAACCCAATAGTCTATTATTCAATAAATAATTGCCGTCATTACTAACGTGAACAGTTAAGTCAGTTAAGTGAAAGCTCCCCAGATGCACGGTCTGAAGTTGCCAATTACATGACTACATTGCAAATATTATCTTAGTTACTCAATCTAGAAGCACGAGAATGTCAAGGAGAAGGCAAAAACTTTCATCATGTATGGTTTCCTTGCTACAGAGTCCTGGAGAAAGCAATTATTGCAACATTCTTGGGTGAGACGAAGAAAATTCCCCATATCGCTTTTTTTAGAGCCGTGACCACTAGAGGGCCATTGTTGCTTTGCATTGCAAAAGACAAAAACACATTCACCTTTTATCTTCATTACCACATATATGGGGAATAATTTCTTCTATTGAGTACACCTTTTTTGTAAAGAAAAAAGATAAAGCTATAGAATGAAAACACAGTACAAGTCTCACCATCAAACCGCTGCCCACAAAAGAAAAAAATTAAGCACTAATTAAGTTATACAGGACAGAACACGATAAATCTCTTCGTCTTGGCTCTCGTTTCGAGAGCGCTGTCATCCAAACAGCCGGGATGAGACCATTCAGCTTTCTGCACCACATGCTGCTGTAGGAGTGTAGAAAGGACACACTGTCCCTTGCTTCCAGCTGAACTCCATCTCTAGCCATCGACCGCTGCTGGCTGGCCATAGAGACGGGAGTACGGGCTTTGCCCCACGAGAGGTGGCTGGAGGCAGGTGTCACCAGCCAGCAGGAAAACGGAAAAATAAAAAATAAAAAGCACACACCAGAGGTTTGTAGCAAGTGCTTAATGGGGCTAACTAATGCCTGATGCGACTCTGAAGGTACTACTGCAGGGTCTCTGCCCACTTGAAGGCATGGCTTCAGGCAGAAACTACGGAAGGCACGTGCCAGACTTCAGACCCAGCCTTCCTGCAGCCCCTTGGTCCTCCCCCCCACCACGCTGCTGCTTCGGTCGGGCCAGTGCTGCGAACCTGAACTTGTCCAGGATAAACAAAACCCACAAGGGACTACCCGGTTCACAGCATCGCCTGACGAACAACCCCGCGTGCAGCTGCAGCACAGCAGAGGACGGAGAAGGGGGGAGCGGGAGCCCTCGAATGTTACTGCTGTCACCAGACTTCGGTTCATGCAACCACAGCCTCCGGGGTCCTCTACACTGCGTTTGGGGGGTCAGACACACACTGAGTACGTACCCAAGCAAGCTGAAGGACAGCATTTCCTCAAGCACGCTGTCTTTTTTCCTGCAATGATGTGGGTCTCTGCCCCACACATCCCCCACGTTCGGCCTATCCCAAAATCTCGTTCCTCGCATCTTCCCCTCGCCTGTTTTAGTACCAACGCCTTCTCTGCCTTCCCTTTCGACTCCATCTGCGCTGCCCTGAGCAAACCAAGCTCCTGCCATGCCTGCTGATCTGGCTCTGGCCTAACTCCCCAGGCTCGCACCTCGGCTTTGGGCAGCAGCTCTTCCCGTCTTGTGCTGCTTAAGCCAGCAGCTAGCTCTCCACACCTCTGGACTAACCCTATTCTACCTCGAGCCACTACCTTCGAGATCCACAAGCATCACTTCTTTAAAATTATTTTACGTAACACTTGTAGGAGAATTACTTCTTCCATCGATCATCTAGTGTCAGCGGGCCTTGGCCAGGTCAGCGTGGGCTCCATCAGGAAGGCTGCCTCAGCCATCGAGCAGCTCCAAAGCCACCGCCTCAAAATACACGCAGCACCCCTTGCGACTGCCAAGAGGCGAGGACTGGGGAGGGTGGGGGAAAGGGATGGAAAGAAATGTGCATGACAGCATATCTTTGGGGTTTCCAATGCTCCACCCAAGATACGTTTCGTGCCCTGTCATCCATCCCTAGCTCCAAGTTTGAAAACTGCTATTTTAAGCCAGCTAGCTCTGATATTAAACCCCTGCCTCAGGAGCATTGCAAATGAGGCTGCACAGAGCCCACACCAAGACTGACCTATTTTCAACACGTATACTACTGGGTTAAAGCTAACCCAGTTGTACCAACACTGCACTGTGGTTAAGACCCCGAATGCAGTGTGGACAAACCCTCCAGCAGCCATAACCACAGAGGCCTAGGACCTCTTTCAATGGACATCTCCATAGCTCTAAGCAGCAGCCATTAAACAGTAACAAAGCACAGGCCTGCAAAAATGAAGCTCTGCAGAAGCTCTGGGACCCTGGGCTCATGGAGGAGAAACGTAAGGCACAGGCTCTGGGCAGCGTGCTGATCACCGTGCTCCGAACACAGGCTACCAGGCAGGTCCATAGGTTCTCTTCAAGGGCAGCGCTGAGGGAAGCACTTATGGACTAGCTGCTTAGGATTCAAAAAACGAGATCCATTCTTGCTGACTGACTTCTGCTGCTTCCGTGGGCGATGCCTATGCCAAACGAAAACCAGTAACCAAGGGCCTTCATTTAAAATAGAAGAACTTACAAACGGGGAAGTTCATAATCTGAACCAAACACATTTTTTTGTTTTAAGAACAGGAGAAGATGTTATGACAAAGGTTTAAAAATAAGCGAAATAACCACTTTGCACTCAACAAAGTTTTAATGTTTTCTGACAAAGCACAGTTGTTTTCAGCATGTCAAAATTATGAGTTTTCCAAGCTCCTTCTATCTGCTGAGAATCGTTATCTTTAGACCCAAAAGGATGTACTAAGGACCCAGAAAGGTGCTGGAATAGGTCTTAGACCTCTGATCTACTGTCCTACGTCCCAGGCACTGGCCAGACTTAGATCTTTGTGAGATGATCTACACAATACTTTAAATACTTTTCCTGCCATTTTAATTATAACTTTAATGAATGAACATTCTCCTGAACTATTGTCCATTCTTCCCAGCCTCAGAGCTGCTAGTAAGATTGACGTATAAATAGAAGACAACATTATCACTTATTTTCTCCAGAATATGTTACAAAGTTTATTCTTTTCGTGATCTGATTTAATTAAAAAAAAAATAGCAGAAAGGCTGATCTAACTCTTTTGAGAGCCATCATCCGCTGCAAAGAGATGGAAGAGCTTGAACAGCTGTTGCAAAAATCCTGAAACCCTTTATTGGCCTCACCATAGTAACTTCTACAGGATTCGAGAACAAACAGGAAAAGCAACTGGACTTGCATTTGTTTTTATTTTGGTTCTTTCCCACTCTAACGAACATGTAAAAAAGACTTATTTAAAAAAAAAAATCTCTAGATAAACTACTGCTCTTAACATTACCATTTCAAAGTATGCTGGTTCAATGCAGCTTGAATTGGTTCCCTGCTGTCCTCTTTGGAGTTGCTCCAAGTCTGTTTATTTTATTTACTGTTTAAGCTATTTTGTTTCAACTGCTGGCCAATTTTTCTCCCTCCTCCTCTTAAATTAATTGCTACATTTGGATGTTTGCACACTAACTTTTCCAGGAATAAAAGCCTCACATACACCAAATAAAGGCACATCAGAAGTGAGCTTTAATCCCTGAAATCTATAGAGGAGTTGATGATTCTGCAACAGAATGACAGAGCATAGCTTCGTGGCAGGGAACCTGTGACTATTTCTGTACCGTCATAATTGGGAAGACCTAAACCTAAAGTTAAATCAATTTCTAAAACAGAAAATTGAAGATTAGCTGTTATGCATCTGCAGCTCTTCAGTCCAGGTGCAGCACTTCTCTGAATTGTTTCAGATTCCTTTACTTTAATTCCTGCTTATGACTAAGATGACCATAGGCTCTCGCTGGTGCCTACAGCATGTGGAACACAACAGGTAGGAAGAAGTTCCTTTAATTTTACTTTTTTGGTCAGGAACTTCACTGTCTTTTCAAAAAAGATGGAAAACTTTATTATGAAGGCAAGTTATAAAATGATATAAGGGACAACAACTGAAAACGGGAAAGAAAGTTGCTGCTTTACAATCTCCATTTGAGAACGAAACGACAATTTTATCATAAACGGCAAATGTTGGGAAAAATAACTCCCTCTGAAAGCCTTTTACTGTTCCTGTAACTTATTTTTTTTCCTTTTGATCCAGTTCCACTTGGCAATGCCCTTCCTCCATGGAAGATATTCTCATACACTCATTCTTCAGACTATTCTAGACCCTTCAAGCTCCCATCTGTGAGCCTGCCCTGGAGCTCCCCAACTCCTTCCACTTACATACCCAGGTTTTCCCTCACTCCTCCTCCTACTCAGTCACCCAGCCAAAAAAATAAAGTCATAGCTCAAAGGTCTAAGGTCAGGCTGGACAGAACCATCTGGGAGGGTTAAAAATTCCTTTTTCTACCCCTTTCACCTCATTTAGATATAAACAAATACCCTTCCTCTCTATGTAATGTTCACCATGTTCCAAAATCAACGTTACACAGGTCAGCAACATGAATTGGCTCCATCGATCTTCAAATACAACTCTAATAAGATTTTTATTCTTCCATTTAAAATAAACCACTAGGATATTTCCTTAAGCCTGTTTTTAAAGATAAACTTTCTCCTCCTCTCCGCTGTACTCATCAATCACAGCATGTCACAGAACATGACAAATGCTTCAGTTTTTTGAACAGTCGCCACATTTCATTTCTGCTATCCAACACTTGCAGGATTAAAACCCCAGGAAAATATGGGACACCCTGAACACTACAGAATTAGCACCTCAAAAACCATACAAACTCTCAGCCTGTCTCTCCTCCCCCTGCTGTCACTATTGCTGGACAAGGAGCACAGAAGCTCAATGCAATCTCAAAGGACTGACACAAATCCAGTCGCACCTACAATCCACAGTATTCTCTTAATACATCTACAAACGTCAGTATCATCTTAACACTACACCCTGCAACCCTATCTAGGATTGGTTACTATAATTTGATAACTGTGACAGTATTGGCATTACTTCCTAACGAATAATTGCTCCTGAAATTGTCCAAAAAATTGCATAGCTCATTCATGCTAATAAACAGAACTGGTCTGAGAAAAACATCATCTCTGCTTCATGGGAAGACATCGTAGGGCTATGAAGCAGCGGTGTTTGTCTCATCGCCAGTTTCACACCCACTCACAGCGGAGTGCAAGGGGACGGCAAGTCCTGACAGAAGCTCCCTTTGAAGTCAAAGGGTGTCTGCAGCAGAGGACCTGCTCAGAAGCTAGAGGTGTGGTGTGGCTGCCCTCCTGCATCACTGGCCACAACCTATTTACTCCTTCCTGTTAGATGCAGTGCTAGCAAGCACACTTGTTTCCCGGGGTGAATCTGAACAAAAACCCCTCTTCCTTTCAAATTTGCTTATCTCCCCCGTGGAATCTTAGATCTTCAAAGCATGACGATCACCTACCCAAACCAGGCCAACGGTGTCAGCCAAGGCTTGTTTGTCTTGCGTTGGGTATTACACAGAGAGAACAAAAATCTGACCGCTAAAGAGCCTGCAATTCAAAAAGGGTAAGAAGTGGCTGTACAGAGATTGCGGAGATTAAATCTGCATTATTTGTTCAGGAGTGCTACTTAAACAAGATAACAAACTTCAGTTTTTATCAACTGAGCAGCCTGCAAGAGAAAGAACAAATCAAGCAGTATTTCTAACTAGGTATGTTCCACTTCAGTCGCCTCCTTTACGTCTCCAAAACTAAGGTGACGTTACCTAGGTATAACAGAGCTGGCGAAAATGTTATCAGTAGGTAACTGTGCCTGTTACATAAACTATGGGCTTAAATGATTTAAACAAGTTTATGGTTCTAATAATAGTATTTCGTAATTAATGAAGATAATCAGGCTCCTAGCTACCTAACAGTTCATCTCAGGATATTCTCCACTATGGCAACATCCCTTAGATCTAAGCGTAACTGAGGAGAATATTTTTGGCTAAAGGAATCTAGCTGTGAGACAAACATCTGGTAAGTTAAATCTAGAGAAACATTGTAAAATCTTGCAACTACTAAAATGTGAAATGGAAAAACATGACAGTCTCATCAAGTGAATACAGAATAATACGAACCTTCATCTAGCCAAGGAGTGCTTTTCATAGTTCAGTAACAAGAGCAAAACTCAAAGAAATCTAAGGAAAACTTTTATACAGGTGACTTTTCGTAACTATGGTGATGGAAGACTATAGAAAACCCTAAAACAGGTCAAAAAATCAGGCAGAGGATTAGCAGGATGACTCAGTTTTATCTATGGGCCTTTTTAGAAAGGAATAACCCCTGCATCCACAGCTTTAATAGGTGGGCTCATAACACAATGCAACGGGAAGTGCTGGTCTGGTGGGAAGATGAGCAAATCTGAGAGCTGACAACTTTGCTCTGTTCAGTCTGGTCTCTCTAATCAAGATCTTTCACTCTGATTGTGCAGACACTCCTGGTGACTTTTAGCCACAGCACGAACAGCCTCTGTAGTCAAACATGTGAAATACAGCAACCGTCAAGAATTTAAGAGTTATTTCTAAAATCCTTTTTTGTTCCATTACACAATAAGCTTGAAATAGATCTTTTATGATCTTTTTCCCAATGCTATCAAGTATGCCCATTTGCTTATTATATCATGCCTGGCACTTCAGAAAAAAAAATAAAAACAAATTAGCAATGCCCAATGCTTTTATAATTCACATACATAAACAAATTATATGATGGTATGATACACAAAGATTAGGGCAGACAAAATTTTGAGATGTAGTAAAATATTTCTTTAAACCAAATAAAAACTAAAACTCTCAAGTAGTACTAAGACAAAGGAGGCATTTCCATGCATAACTACAGTTTTTCTCACTGCTCAAAAAAATCCCAAATACAGGATCTGCAAGACAAGATCAAGACTACAAAAAGAAAAAAAAGATAAGTTCCTCAATTCAGCACTTTTTTTGGTGTGTGTGCAAAAAACTTGCTGTAATATGAATTGAGTAAACTTTCTGAGATTCCAGTAAGTGTTAGATGCTGGAAACAACTTGAAGACCACACTCCAAATGAATCTTTTTGTGCTCCACAAGCAACAATTTCCCCTGCAACAATGCAGGCAGCAAATTTGAAACTGCTTTGAATACAAGGGTGTTTAGTGTTATGATATCATATTAAATGAAAAGGTTGCGGTGTCCTTTCAAGGAAATTCGTTTACTCCAGAGGTAGACTCTTCAGAGCAAAGAAACGAGCCGTAGCACGGTAGCCACTGTGACATGGCACGCCCTGAGAAATGGCTGTGCATTTTTGTATTTTAAGTAATGTATTTATTTCCAAACTGTCCTTCTGGCACTTTTGAGAAAGACAGAAGAAAATCAATAGCTACTGTCTCAGGATAACCGAAAATGCAGCATCCAGATCTGAAAGTGAGCTTCTACCTGCTGGACAGACACACCAAGGGCACACCGCAGCCAGTACACCCGCCTGCCCCTGTCAGACAGGGTGCTACCTTGAAGAGACAGCTGAACTACTGTAATTTAATGATTACCATAATCCTCTAGTGGCTTTCTACATTTTAGAAGACTGTATGCCCCACCTCAGTCTTTTCTTCTGTTGATTAAACAAACTTGATTCCTCTCAGCCTAGAGTCAGTCATGTTTTCTAAATTTCTATTTTTCTTCCTGTTCTCCTCCGGTTTATTTTTATTTAATTTCTATTTTTTTTTCCTGTTCTCCTCTGGTTTATTTGCATTTGCCTTCGTTTAGTGATTACAGTTAACTAAGAGCAAAAATAGAACTCAATGACACAGAGTTTCAAAGAAAGGGTAGTTTGACAGCTCTCATGTCTTCTGCAGAGCACATTGATCAAGGAAAGATGCCCAAAATTTAATCAGACAATACTGTATCCAGAAAAAAAAAATAAATATTCGGGACTATTAAAGAATTGTATTTTGTCAATAATGTTACCTAATGATGTAAAAATTTCAGAGAGTAGCAAGAGTCCTAACTTCAATAATAATAACAACAAACTACTGATGTTTTCCAAAAATTAGAATGCAAAGTTTTATTTGGATTTCTTGTCTTTTTGTCGTTATGGAATGGCCCTACAATTGAAACAAATGCAGAAAAGCCCTAATCACAAATTCAGAGTTGATTTTTTTTTTGTTGTGTAGCTTTTGAAAGATGTATTAGGGGAATTATTAAAATCTGTCACCTTTTCAAAATCACAGTCAAGGGATAATTAAATTTTGAGAGCTTTACCTATGAATTCTCTGGCCTCAGCACACACGAAAGGCCTTTCAGTGTAATTTTAAATTTGAACTTTCAGAATTACCATGATCCTTAAGCAGCATTACTCATATCCCTCTGATGTCATCAAGGCTCAATTTACAAAGCATATGAGGGGCTCACTTGACCCTCTCTGTTGTGTATCATAATCTTAACAATTAGATACAATAATAACTTTACCTTTTACAACCTAAATAATGTAAGTAGAGCAGATACACATTAAAATGGGATTTTAACCAATAGTTTAAAGAACCTATGTTATTACTCAATTAAAAGCAGAACAAAACTGACCAATGCAAAGATCCCATTTGAAATTAGCTTTAAAATCAAATTAATGACCAAATTTGCAATTCACAAGAATTATTTTATCTGGTAGTGCTGTAGATTTGAGGAGGATTGCATGAGGAACACATGAAAAGGCTTCAAACTGAAGCCTGAAATATTTACTTGCTTGTCCACTAATTAAAAAACCCTGGATAATACAGACCACAGCTGTTAAATTTCATTGTAAATGCCACCGCATTTCAGTAACAGACCGATTCTCACAAGCTGTAAGCATATAGGTTGGTAACGCTGAAGCGTTGTTTGCTTCTTTAAGGGTGAGAAGCCCCTTACTACAGATAGGGAAGCTATTAACTGTCACGCTTGCTAACCCAAGCATCGGGTATTACAAAGCCTGCCGGGCTGAGTACCACTTACCGAAGATTCACTATCTCTAACAAGGAAGTCTCCTTCCACTCCCCTTTCGTTCAGGGCACATTCTGCTTGGTGTCGGGTAACATTCCCGTAATACCACTCTCTTCCAGCAAACCGTCCTGTAGAAGATGGTCCCGTGTAGCTTATCTGAGGCGGATGGGAAGTGTTAATAGTAGGACCATCGCTAATGATTACTACATAGTTTTTAGGAACAAGGCCAATTTGCCCTCTGGAATTTTTACATTTCCACCATTCTGGGTCATTTTCTGGCTTTTCAATGACTTCCATCGTTTCCCCTTTTTCAAAATTGAGCTCTTCTTCTGTGACGGAGCTGAATGGATACAGTGTCTGAACAACGTGGAGTACTTTGGTGCCCTGGCCGTTACTCATGGAAGCGCCTTTCCTTAAGCTGAGAAAGCTGGGTGAATCTGCAGTTGCCTCCTCAACCTCCTCTACCACATAGTTCGAAGGAAACCAGCCAATCTGTCCATTGTAGCTACCTCTCCACCAGCCGTCGCTGCACTTCTCCATGACAATCACTCGGGATCCTTTAACGAGGGACAGTTCATCCTCCCTCTCCGCGACATAGGCAAATTTCACGTAGGCTGGAATGTTAAGATCGTAAATCCGGTCGGCGCTGCTGCCGTTGGACGGGTACTCTGCGTCCGTGCTAGGAGTGGGTGAGGCGTCTCGCGCGCTCGTCTTTCTCTTGGTTTTTCCCAAACCTGTTAAAGAGAGAAACGTGAAGTGGTCACTCGGAATGCTCGTCCCCAGACCGCAAACGCAAACGCTGGATTTGGTGGCATGCTCCTCTGTCACCTTAACAACACTGCTAAATGGAGATCTCTTCTGTAACACTACATAGTCAAGAAACAGTAACACCTTTAAGAGATTATCTTCAACATCCAGCTGATGCATCATTAGGTAAGGAGCAATTTGCATTATAATGGCTCTCTTCCCTTCCCAGAAGCACCAGAGTTTTAACACGCTTAAAAACAGTAGTTTCTTCACTAGGAGAACAGCTAATCACTGGAACGGTTGCACAGCTTGCTGTTACGTCTCTTAAAAATCCAGCCAAATGATCACGTCTTTTCCTTTTAGTGATGACTTTAATTTGGCTCAACCAAAACATGAAAGAAAATCTACAAAAATAAACTAGCACAGCAATAAAAGCCTAAGTTTCTCCGCAGATTACATTTTGCTCTCTTCATTCTTCAGTCAGTCCCCAGGCAGCTACAGCTGCAACTCCTTCCAACTGCAAGCCCCCTTCTGAAATGCACACCTCTTTCATCTACATTTCGTCCTGTACTATAAAAGCGTAAACCTGACAGCAAGGAAGACCATTTGCATACGTTCCCCTATAACCTCTAAATTCTGATGTACTGTTGTGGCTTTAATTATAGCACAAAATACAATGTACAGAAGAAACAACAATAACATTTACCTAACTTTCTTTTTTTCTTAATTAGAGGAACCAGGCTAATGTCTGTTTAAATATGGAAGAAAAACCACACAACACACTTGGTGTATTTTTCAAACTTTTCCAGCAAGGACTGCTTAAGCTTATGTATAAACAGAAAGATAAAGTGGACAGGCAGCCCTCTCTTGTGAAATTCACTTATAGAAGTTCTGAAGAGAAAACAAAAGATGAAGTCTCAGTATAGCACAAACCAAGCAACACCCAAAATGTCATGCAGGAGACAGAAAGCAAAAACCAACATAGAAATAGGAGCTTTTGTACTTTTCTCCATGCTCCTAGAGCCTTGCTGGCAGGTGACAGATTCACTTGAGACATAATGACTACACACTGATTATGGCAGATTGAATGGGGAAAAAAAAAAAAATAGGCCTTTGCTTTTGTTTCTTTGAATAATCTGACAGAAGGAGATGCATGCTATTTCATTTTTAACAATTCAGGACTATTTAATCTGGCCACTCCACTGCTGGAAAGTGTGTTCATTTTTAAAAATATGTATACATATATATGTACATGCATATACAATGAACATCTTCGGCAAAGCTGTTTGTTGAGTGCGAAACTACCCGGTTTATTTCACAGGGTTAGCTGTACAGCACAGACAAACAGCACACGCACGACCACGCAGGGTTTGCTAACTAGAAGGGTTAAATACATTAATTGATACAGTCTTAAGGTCTCAGAAGATGGCAGAAAATTCCAATGATCCCAAAGTGTTTCCTGACCTTCGCCAGCAGCTCCTTGCTTCCTGTCGGAGCCTGCTTACATCCTAACGTCATTCTAACTACATTTCAGCCGAGAGCCGGTGGCTGCATTCTCAGGCAAAATGAGGGAGAGCAGCTTATTGTACTGGGGGAGACAATCGCAGGAAAAGAGTGTCCAAGCAAGCGCTAATCGGAAGCTGGCCAGGCTTCTGATCTCTGCCAAGGCTGGAAATTTTTATCAGTTTAGAGATCATTTTCAACCAAAAGACAAGGATGTATCAGAACTAAGGAGCATTAAATTAGGGTGACACAAACAAACACCACTTAAGGGTCGTTCCGTTAGGAAAGGGGGGAAATTGCTTGTTATAACTTCATGGAAAACAAGCAACTGTATTTCAATAGATTCACTCTACATAACGCCCTACACTGAGCTTGAACCTTCCAGATTAAAAGCTTAGGTTTTCATGTGCTTTGTAACGGAGATATGCAGCACCACTTCTTGGAATTACAGCAGAACAACTAATAAAATAAAAAAAAACCAGTAGATGATGAAGTAGCTGGCCGGGAGAAAACTGGTTGAAAATCAGAGCACAGAGATAACTGTGCGATATGGCGATGTTATGTGATAAGAGAATGCCATAAACTGAACTATCTAGAGAAAAAAATTGTTGACAAACAGGAGAAAGAAACAAATTTTTCAAAAAAATTTCTGAAGTCTGATAAAGGTGTCTAAACATTTAGCAAAAAGTTATCATCCAAGCACTTTCTTTCACTTGGAGTTTCATAAGTTGAATCTTTTTCCACAAACCTTCCAATGCTGCGTCTGACATTTTAAATGTTCCTTTCTATCCTCCCCATTCAACACAAACCATAACAACATGGGGGGGCAGAAAAAAAATCAGAAACTTCACTTTTTTTCTTTATCAATAAAGGCTGTCCGAACTCTTCAGTTTAAGCTTAACCTTTAACGTAACCAGACTTTTTAAGGCTGATAGCATGGTAATGATTAGCCTTTTGCAATAGCAGTGATGTGCACCAAAGATTGTGCTTCCAGCTGGTTTGACCAAGGTAACTATGCAGAGACCCATCTGCAGCCAAGCACAGTGAAGGGCATGCACAACATTAGCTGACACTCATTTTTTCTGAGGTTACAACATTCATAACCGCGTCTGTGACAGAAGAGGAAACAAGTTGTTCCACGAGCAGAACGAAGGAAATCTGTTCCTGTTTTTCTCCTTACACCTCCTGCCGCACTACTCCTTCTTTGCCTCCCCCATCTCCTGCAGGATCCACAATAAGCCCCCTTACCATATGACTGCCTTGGCATCCCCAGGTCCTTCTTATACCTCCAGCTCCCCACTGCAATCTCCAAACTGCCCTCAAAGTATACTCCATCTCCCCTGGTGTTGCCCTCCCTACCTTCGTTGGGCTGGCCAGCCAAGCACGGTGCCCCGCTGCCTTTCAGCCCTGCCTGGACTGAGCGAAGAGCTGGGATTGCTCTGGCTTCTCCTTCAGTGAGGGACACCAGCAATGACTCTCCCAGGCACCGAGCTGGAGAAAACTAGTTAGTTTATCTCTGCCGGTCTGTCAAGTTTGTTTAAAATTGGCTGAGTTATCAAGGGTGGACAGATGGACGGACGATGACAGCTGACTGTGACAGCATGACTAGTGTAAGCTTCATTTCCTTAGGGAACAAGTCTAAAAATATAATTTGGTAGGATGGCTGATCATAGCTAAGCAAGAATAAAGTTAAGATGATTATAAACTTCATATGCATCTGACAAAAATCGCAACTCCATTAAAAAAAAAAAATTACAATCTACATGAATCATTGGAAGAGTAAACACTGCCATTACTCGCTACTAACAGAAATGTTCACTTACGACTATTTGTAAGGGTATTTCTATGCTTATGTCTGAATGGAATGAAACCCATGTAAGGAATTTCATGGAAAACAAAACATTCAAGCACTTTGGGAGTCACATTTGGAAGAGTCAAATATACTTGTGATTGCAGTCATAATTTTGGCATTTTTATTGTCTTTGTTTTAATGAAAACTTATCTACTAGTGAAATGTAACTGTATTTTCCCATTCTGACTCACTGGTTACAGTTCAACTACAACTACTTCTTGTAAGGAGAAACCTATAAAGCAATGGATTAGCTTTCAAGTGAGGGGAAAAGAGTGGGAGCAAAAGCATTGCAAAGCAGCAGAAAGCCTGCTTTATGTTATGGTGTCTCGTAAGAAATAACACTGTTCACAATCTACAGCTGACCCACACTGAACTAGTTCATTTTCATTCTTACAAACAAGTTGCCGAATGATGCGAGTAGGTTTAATTTTTAGGTGGACATATTGCTGAGGTAAAAAAAAACAAAAAAAAACAAAAAACAACTGGTTAGCATCATTTCCAGAGATGGGATAGACTGCAAATGCTCCTTCTCTCTGCAGTGAAAGAAACCCTCTGGCCCCGAGGTTAGCCCTAGGGAGACCCAGAAACGTGCCTCCCGCATTACTTCGTGCCCTTTTCCTTTCCTCGCTCAGTTGCGGCTCTAAAGAATAGCCTGTCTAAAGAATAGCTTGTTTTGCGAGCAGCAGGCCGAAGGAAGACCAGTTTCCTAAGAATTTGCTTCCTGTCTCTTAAGTCCCCATTGTGCAAACCCCAGCTTTGCACCCTTTCGTTACCAGCTCGTCCCTGTGACGCCCTTCCCATCGTACCCCTAGGTCCTCCAGCTCGCACCTCCAACGCCCTCTCCCTGCAGCACCTCCAGCCTTCCCCCCTCGTGCTCCTTAAGCTCCCCTGGGAAATGTCTTTAGCTGCCCCCAACCCCAAACCTCAAAGTGGTGGAATTTCCTTCTGGTCCCCCTTTGGCTCAACACTGTGATACTGCCAGTTCCCCTACCCTTACCTATGTCTTCTGCCGTGCTGGCCACACTCCTAGCCCAAAGCTTGGCCACCTGTCAGACGGCACAGATGCTCCGACTGCCTAGCCTTCTCCTGCTAAAACCGAAGGAAGGATTTCTCTCTCCTTCTTCTGCCTTCAGCGAAGGCACTGAAACAAGGTTGCACAGCTATGATCTTTATGAAAATTGGTGCTTAGGATAAACAAGTTTAATTATCTGTAAAACTTTATCCTAATACACACTTTTATCAAATACATACATAACACGTGCATAGAAAGGGATTTTTTTGCCACTAGTAAAAATTCATATTCCATTTGCTAATTATGGTTTATATTACATACCACCTTTACCAGAAAAAGCCGATTTACAAAACAGATATCTTTTCCTAATTTTAGGAAGACTTGTTTGATGAGTCTGGGAGCTGGTGTCCTTGTCTGAAACCGATGAGTGACCACATTTTGTATTTTAACTGCTTTTGCTCATCCCCAGAGGTGAAAGAACAGATTCACTGACGTGGCTGTACAACGCACCTCCGCAGGCTTAACTGTACTCACATTTATTTTATTAAGTTCTACTTGAGAACCACATGCACTAAACACTGAAGATATTTGCAGTCCAACTGTCTAGCATCCCCCTCCCA